TATATATATACATATATATATACATATATATATATATATCACATTATTATTCTTATGTATTTACATATTTAAAACCCAACATGTAACATTGACACTAATAGTTTTATTATAAAAAATAAATATTTCAATTTTAATGATTGTGAGTTTTAAAATGTGAGTGATTTGCACATAAATATAAATATTTAGGCATTGAAATATGTACGGCAGGAAAAAAAAACTTAAACAAAAGTGTGAGAAAATTAAAAATTAAGGGATGAGGGGTGTTTTAAGTTTAACACCTTCATCTTTTTAATTGTGGACACAAATTTTAAGATAATTTGACGACTCAGAAGAAAGGGACAACCAATTTATTAACTCCTCACTATAGCTGCCAGAGAATAATGGATGTCAGACGACCAATTGATACTTCGAACGACTCCCAACAAGTTCTTTGATTTGTGAGATAGGACGCCTGTCTTTGAATATAACAGAGGACCCTGTTCCTTAAAAAGACGACCGACTTTCCGTGAACAGGTCGTCAAGTACCTCTACCGTGGGTTAAGGGCTAATGAAGGACATGCGGAGCAAACAATCGACAAACTTCTCATCAATTTGTCTTATTTTTGTAATTTACTAAAAGACCCCTAAAAAAACTAATGATGAAGGGGACAAATATGTGATTTTATGGGGTTCTCGCAAATGCGCACTTCTTACTATTCATTATTATTTGTTATTCATTTTTCTTATACGCTCTATTCATTGGGTTTGTTTCGTAAACACTCTCGGATTCAACATTTGTGGAGATAAATCTCCTAATTTTATATATTTTTCTTGTAGAATTTTTACTTGCAAAATTTACTTAGTAATTAATTAAATAATATTTGATTTGTTGTTGTTAGTTCTCATGGGTCTAGTTTACTACCGCAAGGTCTCGAATTCAAATTGCGCGCACACAGACACACATATATCTACATAACACAACAATTAGGGGTGTAAACAAGCGAAGCTTAAGTGAGGCCAAACTTGTTTCGTCTTCAGCTCATTTAAAAATATCACCATTTGTGTTCGACTTATTTATATATTGAACTCAAAAAATTTGTTCATATTCGGCTCGCTTGCTTAGCGAGCTGAATACGAGCTGTTAGCGAATAATGAATTATTTTGGTAGCCATAATTTCGTAGAATGTTAATGTTAGAGACGAGATTAAATTTTATTATTTATATTAAAATATTTATTTAAATAAAATTTAATATATATTTTTATTTTTAAATTAATAATTTTAATTATATATATATTCTCGAACGAGGAGCAACTTTGACAAACACAAGTGATTAAAGTTCATTCGAATCACATATATTATTTTTTATATATAATTATATTTTTTATTATTATTATTATTATTATTATTATTATTATTATTATTATTATTATTATTATTATTATTATTATTATTATTATTATTATTATTATTATTATTTATTTTTTTTAAGCGATTCCCGGAGAGAGAAAAGGAGGTGGGAGGGAGCGAAGCAAAGGACCAGCTCTGATCGCAGAGAAAGTTCTTCAAATCTGTGTCTTGACCTCTCTCTCTCTCTCTCTCAGTTCTCTATCTTCCGTCGACTGTGATCGCCACCTCCCGTCATTCCCCTGATCTTTACCGTTCTCTTCATCTCATACGTTGGCGGCGGTGGTCTTCCATTCTCCCGGCGGCAAGCTTACTTTCTCTCTCTCTCACTAGCTTCTTCTGCAGCATTCTGCGATTAAGCGGTAGAGAGGCGTTTTTTCATTTCTCGGTATGTTGATTCTTGCTTACCTTCACGTCTTTTGTTCAGCGGCTCGTCGGAAGCGAATTAGGGTTTATGCTATTCGTTTCTAGATGTCTCACGAGTTGCTCAGTTTGTGGTTTGCAGGTTTCTGGATGGGTAGGTTTTGGTGATGTAGAATGTGGGGGTTAGGGCGTGCGGGTAGAGGCAAAGCTTGTTTTATGGGGCGATGCGGTGGATTAGGGGAATTGTGAAATTAGAGTAGATTGCGGTGGTTTTCTTTTCTTTTTGGAGTGAGGTTGGTTGGGGAATTGGATGGGGAACAAGATAGGGAGAAAGAGGCAGGTGGTTGATGAGAAGTATACTAGGCCGCAGGGGCTGTACCAGCTACGAGATATTGATCATAAGAAGCTCAGGAAGCTCATTCTTGATTCGAAGCTTGCTCCCTGTTATCCTGGAGATGACGAGGGCTGCACTCTTGATCTTGAGGAATGTCCAATTTGTTTCCTGGTAAGCCATTTTTTTTTTCTCTTTTAGGGGAAATTACATACAGACCACTCTAAACTTCCTATTTATAAATCAAACGGCTTCTTTCATTCATTTTTCAAATTCTCACTCAAATATCAAAATTCATGGTAAAACCAAAACCCAAAATTTATCATTTTTATCAAATTCTCAATAATTTGATCGTTGCATTCTTTTGTTTTAGTGATTTTCCTCTGCATTTTTGCTTTTACCTTAATTTGTAAAATTGGAATGTGATTGGTCTCTTTGTCTTTCTTATATTTACTTCTTCTTCTTCTTTTTTTCCTTTTTTGTATTCAGTACTTCCCAAGCCTTAACCGCTCAAAATGTTGCACAAAAGGCATATGCACAGGTATGGCAAAGATTAAAAAAAAAATATTTTTAAGTTCTCAGGTTGAATATTTTAATGTTAACCTCCAATTTTTTTTTCCATTGATGGGCTCAATTACTTCTTTCCAGAGTGTTTTTTGCAGATGAAACCGTCTCACTCTGCTAGGCCGTCACAGTATCCTTCCATTTATTTTGAGTATTTCATATGTTATCCATGAAATATAACATAAATTGCTGTTCTTAACCTCAAAAGATGTCCTTTTTGCAAAACTGCCAACTATGCTGTTGAATATAGAGGCGCAAAATCTAAGGAAGAGAAGGGTGTGGAACAAGTTGTGAGTTTCGCTTGTCATCTTCTTTATTATGCTGCCATTGCTCGTTGCTATATTCAGCAATTTATTTAGTATAATTATTGTTATTATGCAGGAAGAACAACGGATTATAGAAGCACAAATAAGAATGAGGCAGCGGGAATTACAAGATGGAAAGGGAAAACTGCGTAAGAAAGAAGAATCAAGTTCATCAAGTAGATCTCTTCCTCTAGCTGAAGTTGAGTATCAAGATATGCCTAGTGGCTCACATTCAGGTAATTTTTACAGTGTTTAGTTTAGGCATTTTGTTACTCGGCTAATTGACTACATTTTAAACCATCCTATTCCTATGTATTTACATATCTAAGAAAAGATTATTCTTGAATAGTATCACCTAAATACTTCATTTCATATAAAAAATATCACCATTTTAACTTTTTGAAACTGAAACACATTTTCATGCATAGGTAAGGTGGCATTTATGTAAGAATTTAAGTTTAGGTGTTTGATATGTATATACATAGAAATTGACTGGTATGTATGTAAATCTTTCTTTACATTTACTAATAAGGGCTTAATGACTATTTATGATCATAGCAAGATGTTTTAGATATTCAACTCAGGATGATGAGGCTGTTTCCTCTCAAGGCTCATGCAGTGTGGCAATAAGTGCTCGCCCGTCACACTCGATACATAACAGGTCTGTGGTTGTAAATATTGGCCATTCTTTATGTTCATGGTATTTTTTGGTTCCCTTTGGCTTCAAAGTATTTTTTTTTTGAAAATTTTCATTCTCTAGGGAATAATACATGAGTTCCTCATCATACATAAGATCAATGGTTCGTAGTGATGTTGGAATGCTTTAGCTTTTAGATATGTGGATGATTTTAGATGACTTGTGCTTATAAAGAGGCCTGAAGGTCCCTCCCCGCTCTATACACTATTTTTCTTTAGTTCCCCTTAAATCTTCTTATTCTCAATCCTCTTTGTGTGCAAAATTCCTCTCTTTCCCTTATTTTGTGGCATCATGTTATTCAACACGTGCTTAACACAAATATCGCTCTTTTAAGGTTGGTAACTTAATGGACTTTCCTATTACTTTCTCTTATGAACTAGTATGACATGTAGCAACTTCATTGTTGCATATGTTAGTATTTAGGACATTTAATTCCTCACTTCCAAGCATTTCCCTTTATGTAAATCTTAACCTAATCTTGGGTATGCATGTATCATAGCCTACATTTTAGAGATAAATTTTAATTTTTCTTTTTTTTCTTCCTCCTGACCACTCTCTTGTTCCATAGGTCTCTAACTATTTATTTTCATGTGTGATGGTGTCCAACACACAACACACAAGAAATATGTAGAAGAATTCAAGTCAAAAGAGTCCCAAGAAAGAGGAGCTAATTTTTCTCTAAAATGAGCACCATGTTGTCAACAAGTATAGAAATTATGGAGGACTCTCATATTGAGCACTTTGCTCGCCTTAAACTTAGGGTAGATTAAGGCTTCGTTTGGCGTGATAGCAGTTTATTGTAAATGTGGTTGTAAAATTGTTGTGGGGCAAGCAACTTCCTAAAAAACCGTGGTGCGAGCTAAATTATATTTTTTTTCAAAAAATAAAACAATTTCTTGCAACCACCGCACTCCAAGAATTTGGATGCAAAAAATAGCTTCCAATAAATAAATAAATAAAATAGTAAAGTAGTTCTCCAACAAAACTGGGGCGGTGGTCTTATACACAACTTACACTAAAAACTATCCCAATAGACCCTAACTTGTTATCCAAGAGAATGATTGTTAGAAGCAAATGCTTGTCATGTGTGAAGATGAAAACAATTGGATTCAAGATCAATTCCCTCAATTTGCGACATTGAATCTAGCAGAGGCCAATATGAAGGACTTCTATATTGATTAGGGCTATCAAAACGGCTCGTTGTTCGTGAACAACTCGTGGTTGACTTGTTAAAAACTCTTATTCGATTCGTTCGCTTAGTTAAAGAGCCGAACACGAAGACTTTTTTTTAAGATGTTTTTTTTTTCTTTTTATATATATATATATATATATAATCGATGAGCAGTATTTTAAAAAATTTAGTTGACTACAAGGATACAAAGATTTATAATCAATTAAAATTATTAATTAAATAAATAGAATAAAAATATATTAAATTATATTTAAAAGATATTTTAATATCTACAATAATATTTAAATCTTGTCTCAACCCCTTAACATTCTACGACTGCGTGATTAGAGTTATCAAAACGACTTTTTGTTTGCGAACAACTCGTGTTCGGCTCGCTAAGGAAAGAGCTGAACACGAATAGGGATATTTTTTAATGAGGCTCGCTCGTGTTCGACTCGTTTACACCCCTAATGTTGATCACCTAACATCTTGTAAGCATAATTCTGTTATCCTTTTTAAGATGTTGAAAAAGGGCGAAATGAATTTCATATTTCTTTGTGTTTTCTTGTTTGTTTGTTGAGTTTTCTATTTTAATGAAATTTGTATATTTGATTCAACAGCTAGTTCACGACCATCTTAGCTTTTTTTTTGTCTTTTTTATTCTTACATTCCCCATCTTGCCTTCTGCATCGGTGCTTATCCTCTTATTATTTGCTTGTCCTTTTTTGTAAGTTTGGGCTGCCCATTTTCCTGGGCAGAGTTAGTAAGTGAAAGTGATATTAAAGATGTGATTGCTATGCATGTCAAAGTGAAGGCTTGGGTGTTAAATATGTAAATGCATAAGAATTGTCTGGTATGTATGTAAATGCCCCAATAAAATTATTTGAATTTTTTTTTACTGGAGGATTGTGCATACAATGGTAACTAATTGTGTCATCCTAACAGTTGAATTCCAACTACTCGTTGGATGAGTAGCTGTTTGCAATGATATGGAAATCGTAAGAATTGTTTTTGGAATCGGAAAAATAACCTTTTCCTACAATGCAATTGCTTATATGATTTTAGAATTTGTGACCATATCTATGATCGTCCCTAAATCAAAATTTCTCGATTAATTGTTTGCTTAAGACTAGTTTTTTGTTAATTTTGATTTCTAGTAATGAATCTCTGTTGAAATCAACTTTGTTTTGCCTTCATTATACCCATACCCCTTTACATTCAAGGCATCAGATTGTATGGATTGCTAACCTCTCCAGCAAATTCCTCTCAAATGAAAGCCAACTTTTCTTTCTTCAAGACTTTGGGCATTCATGTTAAATTGGAAGATTTACATATGTACCAGTTCATTCCAATGTATTTACATATTTGATACCTAAAATTCAATTTTTATATACATGCTACCTTGCCTATAAATGAAAAGGTGTTTTACATTTTAAAAGTTAAAATGATGATTTTTTATGTAAAATGAAAGATTTGCATGGCATAAATGTAAGAAAGTTTAGATGTTAGATTTGTCAATGCCCCTTTAGAATTCTCTTATAAGCTTTATGAGCATTGGACTTTATTTCCAAATCTTCATCTGCTAATTCATGACTTGGTGTTGTGCATAAGCAGTGGCTCATTTCCTATATTGGAGAGAAAGCATTGTGTTTTTTGAATAGGTGAGCTTGAGCTTGAGTGGGTTTAGTTATCATTTCCTACATAAGCAGTGGCTCATTCAGCTTAGCTCATTCAACAAATAATCCAAAATTTGAAGTTATGTTCGACTTGTTTACTTATGAACATGAATGATACTTGAAACAAACATATAGATTAGAGGATATACAGGCTACCACACATATAGAGATTTTTGGATACCAATGTGGATTATAAACATGTGCATGTGCACAATTGAACCACGTGACATATGACTTTTTGCATGAATTTTAGAAATTTCTATTTTTAATATTTTCTAGTTTTATTATTTTCTATTTTTAGTGATGTTTACTTTTAGAATTAGTTATTATTGGTAATTTCTATCTTTTTCTAGCATGAGAATTTTGCAGTTTTTCTGATGTGGTGGCATTCCCATGCTATTTATATCGTAACTGAGTCTTAGAAAATTGAGATGGAATAATTATTTTTCCCCTCCCAAAATCACAAGATATCAGAACGGGAAATAGCTGTCGAAATTGCGGTTGAATCTCGTTGGCTGCGTTTGTTGTGTGTTTTGAGCATTGTGATCGCCTCCTTTCGCTCTGCTCTTGCCCAAAACCTTACGACATTTTCGTGACTGTAGCTAGCTGGGAATACAAATGAGATCGCAATACAAAGACTTACGAATTGCAATTCCGCAACATATCGATCCCTTAGAGTTTGATCTCCTTGTGATTCGACAACTTTCTTAGTCATTGAGGGTTCTAGATCAGTGAGCTTCGGGCCTAACATGACATCGAGAGTATGATTTCTTCTTCATGGACTTCATTACAGACGTGAAATAACTCGCGAAAGAACTTTGATCTCGTGATTTCAATCGTAGTTATTTCTCTTACAAGTAGCTTCTCTCGAGTCGGAATCGGCGGAGGAACCCATGCTGCTGCTCAGGCTTCTACACCTCAAGGTATCTGATGCACGTGTGTTTTCGTCATCAATTAGGCGAGTGCGGAAAAATTCTTCTAGTTCTCCTCCCATTTGACGCATTTGACTTAGGTTCGGGTGCTCCATCTTGCATTCGATTTTTGTCCTTGAAGACCTTTCACTAGCAGAGGCAGTAATCACCAAATTTGGATCTCTCGACGATGACCAAATATGTGATTGTTTGCGCGACTGTTTCCTGCTTTTGCTATCGTGACCAAACTCGACTAGTGTTTTTGTACTATTCTTTCTACCTTGATGATGTCATACAAGTTGGCTATGATAACCCTTGTAGTAAGGGGCGGTGATACGAACAAAGAAGGCAAAATAAACCATGGTGCGAGCATTGTAAAAAATCATGAAGACATGTTCGAAACTTTATGGTAAACTCACAAATTGGAAACCAAAATCTGAACAGGAAGGTTGGGCTTATCAAGCCACTGCTGATGACATTCGAGAGTCCTCTGTTCGAGAGTCCTCTGCTAATTCAGATGCAATATTTTTCACTGAAGAACAATTAGAGCACCTACATAAGTTGTTTCAATCTCCAAAATGTCACTGCTTTTTTCTTGTTCTTCAGTTCACAAGGGTAACTCCCTAGCCACTGTATTGTTAGGTGTTAACCTTAACTTTATTTATTCTTGTATAATTGATTCTTGTGCAACTGATCATATAACTTGTTTTAAATTATTCTCATCTTATAGACATTGTGCATAAAACGGTTGATGGTTCCTTCTCGACAATTTTAGGGATAGAAACTGTAAAACTTGTATCTTTGTTAACCCATTGTGATGTGTTTCATGTTTTCAATTTATTTTATAATCTATTATCCATTAGCAAAATTACTTATGATTGTCGGTGTTTAGTGAATTTCTATTCTTGTTGTTGCGAGTTTTAGGAATTGATCACTTCGAGGTTGATTGACAGTGTTAAAAAAAACTAGATTATTTTTTATGATAAACTTGATGTGAATTGACTATGTCGAAGTACTTTAAAATTTGATATTTCTTTCAAAGATAATGATATGATATTATGACATAGATTAGGTCATCCTAACTAGGGGTGTCAATTCGGCTCGGCGGAGTCGGGTTCGAGTCTGACCCGAATCGGGTCAAACCGAACTCGTCGCGAATAATAAACAAGTTGAATTCTCTGATCCGAACACAACTCAAAAATATTT